TGTTCACCACATTTCTCACCACTTTCCAATTCTGGTTACCGCCCAGTTATCCTCCCAAACAAGATCCCTAATGCCGCCTTAGAGATTGTTGGTGCTACCTTGCTAATCACAAATTTACACGCACAACCTTTGTGTAATAAAACCTTCTGTAACAACTACTGTTACACATAGTGCCAACTACTTCACAATGGACCTCCTTCCAGAAATTCCTAATCCAGACCTGTATTCACTTGGACTTCCCACGACAGATACTTCCAAATATTCATAGATAAACATATCTACTAGGACTTGAACCCGAAACCCGCTTGTGGAGGGTTGGGTGCCTAGACCACTAGGCTGCGGAATTCCAACCCAAGCTTTAACGATCTTTAAGTTTTTCTAATTATACATATTATTAAATATTAATATTTTTTAAATTATTTTTTAAATATATTACTATATTTACTATATGTACCTTGTGTATTTTGACTATTAATCCATATTTTATCTATATTCTATCATTTATTTTTGTGATAATTACAATATAAACAAAAATAATATGCTGTTGGACCATTAATTCCTAATACAAGTGCTATAAACTTCCAATCAGATGAAAACTACAAATCTACTTTCCAAAAATTTCTGCTATTATCTTCAAATCTTTAATTAGCTAATAGTTTTAATTCATCTATAAAAATTTCAAAAGCTAATTATAAAGATTCGAATTTTTCTACACCAGTATATAAGCATATACTATAATAAATATAATCTAAAATTAATATTTTATAAATAAAAGTTTTAAATAATAAATAATTAAACAATTACCAGTGTTGTTTTGCAGGATCAAGTACATTATTTCCTTCATTTAACTACAAACTGTAAACATTACATGATGATTTGATCTTCCAACTTCACGCCCATCTCCACCTAATTTTAATTTAATAGCATTATTATGAAATATAACTAGAGGTTCTTTATTAACAAGAGTAGGAATAATAATTGATAAAAGTGCAGTTAAAGATTGGTAAGCTCCATTTCCTATATCTGTTAATAATATTTTAATATTATTAAGTGAATCTGTAGAATTATCTGACAAACTTCTAGATATAAATGTCATATTAGGCTCAATTTGAAATATTGTTATTGGTATTAAACTATCCATCGTTTTTTTGATAAATTGTTGTCGGTCTGCAATTAAATATTTACATGTCATACTTGGCATTACAGCTAATAATCGATGATATTCATCTCGAGATACTAATAATTTATCACATGCATGAATAATTGAGTCCAATTCTTGATCAGTTATTTCTTTAGCTTTATTTGATATATATTGAAACTTTATATCTTGATTAAGAGCATGAATTGTAAAATGTTCTATATTTGCATTCTGAAAATTATATTGCATGAATTGTTGTTTAATTCTATTATGCACATCTTTGCCTAAACTTTTTAATCACTTATTTCATTGTGATTCAGATTTCAAATCATTGTATTCTTTTTTTTGAATATAGGACTAAGCTAATTTTGTTTGTACATCAATACGCCTTTGATCTAAACAGTTTAGATTAAACCCAAAAAGAATTATGCCAGAGAGTCTAGAATTTTTATTTCTACATAATTTCTATTAATACAAATTAATAATTATTTTTAATATTTATTAATTTGTTTTAAAAATTTAATAAAATATAAAATTAATCTCTAAAAAAAGTTGTGCTGCATAACTTGCAAATTGTTCACTTGCTACAGATTCTTCTTTATTTTTATTACTAACCCAACTAACGATGAATTTTACTTTTCTATTAAACTGATATTCAGTTAAACAAGTTGCTTCAACTCCACTAATATTTAAGCAAATCATATAATCAGTAGAAATAGAATAGCATACTCTATTTATAGTAGTTTTCTTTGTTATTTTAATATGACTTGAATAGTAGCCTAAGCATAATACTTTGTAATGATATTCCTTTGATCTATTTGACTTAATATGTGTCATATATATATTGGAATATTCATTATGAATATTACAAAGACTATTGGTATAATTTGATACAAGTAAAGACTGAAGAGATTGTTGTTTGGTTTTAAATTGAGATTGGTTCTCTAAATGTTTATTATTTTTATAAAAATTATTCATTAATAATGGTGAAGTGGAAGTAATATTAGAAATTGTTAAACCAAATTGAGTAGAAATAATATTAGAAATCATTGAGCTAAATTGAGCTATTTAACTAAATAGTAGAAAATAAGTTAACAAAACTAAACGTTTTAAAGCTATATTAAATAAAACTTGCTAGTATTATAGATACTGGTGAAATTAAATCAGAGTGGTGAAATGATTTCACCATTCACCACTCAGTATTGGTGTAATTGGTGTAACTAGTGAATTGGTGTAATTGGTATAATTGGTGTAATTGGTGTAATTGGTGAATTGGTAAATTGGTAAAATGGTGAATTGGTGAATTGGTGAAATGGTAAAACGGTGAAATGGTGAATTGGTGAATTGGTGTGTACAGCATAATACATATCTGGATACCTATTATGTGTATTGCAGTTAATATCATAATTAATGATCGAAAAAATGTAGTAATAATTACATATGATAGATAAATTATACAAACAAAACAATGAGATAATAAGGGAGATAGCGATTAGTAATAATAACAATTGTATGAACAATGTAGTAATCAATAATGATTAGTAATAATATATAAGTAAAATGTAAAGAGATAGATTCTTTAGTTCGATAATTAGTTCATAATTAGTTAATCTTCGCTTATTCTATTTTGTTGTTTACTTTCCTTAACCTTAAAAATAAACAATTTAGCGAGTGTTCGATTGTATAATAATGACCCTGAACCAGATATTTGGAGCATGTTAGACATTCGATTTGATTGGCTTGAAGATCACTGGGTTATACAATATAAAAAAAAAATTTTAAAGTAACTCTTACTATGAAAAACCATATCATCAATTGGCAATTTATAGTTTCGCATAATAAAATTTTTTTAGAACATATTATAATGTTCTTTAACTTTTTGTTCATCTTCTGGGAAAAAAGATCAATATAGATCAGTATCCCTAAAAACTTTATTTAGAAGGCAAATTTAGGCAAGTAATATGGTAATACAAATAAGTTAATTGAGTGTTAAACTTTTTTTTTGCTTTCAACACCTTTTCTAGACCCAAGCAACTAACGACATGATAATACTTCTTCACCAAGTTTATATTCAGAACATCCAACCCATTCTTTATTTTGTGCTGCTCCGATTTTAATATATAAAGTATCTTGCTAAAAAGGCTTTGGCACTATTTTTAAGGCAGTATGGATTGGCAGATATTACAGGTCTTTATTACCAAAAGAATATATAGATGAACGCACAAATAGATGCTTTGTTTAAAATAATATATTATTATTAAAGTGTAATAATATTTATTCTAATTAATATTTTAGGTTAAAAATTTGAGGCAATTCTGCAATTGCAATTTATAGAATAACCAAAACTCAAAAGATGGTAACTACAGGATGGTTATAGAGTATGCAAAGCAAATAGTAAATATGGTAAATTGCATTGGGCTTCTAAAGTAGCTAATTTATATTACATAGCTAGAGGGCTTAATAGATTTTCATTCCAGCAATATAGTTAATTTGTTCTTATATTACTGATTTTGGTTTATGTAGGCCAGTGTTACAAAATTTAAATTCTAAAAGACTTTTTGGTATACTTCCATATATTGCTTCAGAAGTTACTATACACAAATGAAAAAGAATACACTTAAAAATTAGATATTTATTCTTTCGGAATAATTATATCAGAAGTTTTACTAGATATCCTCCATTTTATGATATTTTATACAATGAAGATCTAGCCACACATATTTGTCTTGGCTATAGACCTACTTACTTTTGGATCTGATGAATAAATACTTAGACGCAGAACCTCAAAACAGACCAACTGCTAAAGAATTAGTTAATACGTTGTATTAATATTTGGAAGATGAAGAAACTAAATTATATAAGTAAGTTAAAAATATTAAAGACTTAAACAAAATTTTCTTAGTTTAAAAGTTCCTATTTTCTTTTTAAAATTTCGAATTATTTGAGTATCTTATACATAATTATTTACTATTCGATTTGAATCCAGTAATTGGGTCATGAGATATCTCAAGATGTGTATTTGACGAATTGAAATATATTTTCATTGAGCATATAATCAAGTCAAATTGGCCCAATTCAAATATTAAACACATCCACAAGATATTTATATAAGTCGATTTTTGAATATTTCAAAACTTTCTAAACTAGGTAATAATGCTTATATTTTTTAAATAAAATTACTATTTATTGCCGTGATCATCACCAGCATCATGTAATAGTCTATTATATTTTTTACTAGTATTAAGGTTATTAAAGGATTATTGTTATACATAACTTACCTTTGTTCATCTACTAATAGATTTCTCCGGAATACTATATATGGAAAAAACTCTCCTAGCAAAAACCATTCACCACACTAAATTTGTTATTTTACCAAAAGAGACTACTTTCTTAGATCTACTCACTGTCACTAGCATTGTTATTGCTATTGTTGTCCACTTCTCGCTCTTCATTCACCTTTGGTTCGTCCATTTTGGCATCGCCTATTTCACTGTTGGTGCTGACCATTTTGGCATTCCTTCTTTTGTAGTTAGTAGCATTTATTTTCTTTTTTCTTTCGTTAGTCTTTCGTTACTAGGTTCTTTATAAGTAATTTGTTACTTGTCCATTTTTTAACAAATTCAGTTACTATACTTACATATTTAATAGTATATATATGATCTAGATTGGAATTATCACAAATTGTATAATGGTTGCTATAAAAAGTCAGATTCTAGAAGGTATTCAATAAAGCGGTTATACAGATTCGGGTAGATATATGAAGAATTTTTAAATTTTTGATAGTAAAAAAGTAATTTCAATTTTATAAGTATCTCTTTTAATAGTGTTAGGAAGAATACAACTAATTTCCTTTTTTTGAGATGAGGTTTTAGAGAAAATACCTTTGTATTGAAATTTTTTTTCTTTTAGATACTATTATAATTTCTACATGTTCATATCATACTACTTTGCTATATACTCATTATTGGACAACTATTATGATAACATAATAGATAAGTGGATTTAGATATGGTTATAGCTAGGATTGCAACCCAATCTTTCTTTTTTAGTTTCGGCATTTCTATTTAGTTTGAGTTTGGAAATTGGTATTTTACTTAGTTTGGGTTCATAACCAAAACCCAAATATGAATTTTATTTTTGGTAAATCAACCAAAACAACAGTAATTCCAGTTTTAGACTTTGTAACTATCATGGGTAAGGCAGTGACACTAGTATAGGTTCGACTTAATGAAAGTTTAAGAGAGCTTAATAAGTGGCATGTATGAAGCATTGCTGACGAGTTTCTCGGGTAGTGTCAAATTCAAATACTATTAATCCATTAAGTATATATTCATGTATTTAATAGTATAATTTTTAAATTATTAAACAAATTCTACTTTTAATTAAAAGATTGATAATCTAAATATCGAATCTAATTGAAGACTATAGATAAATTAATTATCAAATAATTAAATATAGTTAAGCCAATAACAAGTAAAAATTTTGGTTGAATATAGCCAAGTAATAAAAAACAAGCAGAATTCATATTAATCATTAAGACTTTACCAAAAGAAGTTGATTATCAGATAATATGTGTCAGGATAAAGTGCAATAAAGAATATGATTATATTTAATATGCATCTGATTAGACTATCTATTTTTATTATTTCACCTTTGGAATTTTATATATAACTAATAACATCAATATACATATTCGATGTATTTGATATATGCATGAGTTTAAATGATATAATAAGAAAAATGCAATCAAAATGTTGTGTGATAAAAGAAACATAATACTATCTAAGCTTTTTAAGTTTGTGATATGTGCAAGCTATACTTGTTCTCTCTATATTATTAATTTACACATTATATACACCAGCATGAATTATTCTTCTTTTTAAAGTACCTATTTTGTTTTACTTGATTTGGGATCTGTATAAAAAAATGAATATAGATAAATCGTATTCTTGATGTTGATATGCCGGACTTTAAACAACTTCTTTGTTTAGAATGAGTTCCAAACCTAATTCTGCATATAAAAATTTAGAATTTCTAGCTGTAATATAATTTATAGTTAGAAGTGTTTGACATTATAGCAAATTAAAGGCATTTTGTAAAACCTAGTAAATACTATACTATATAGTAAGTTTGGGTTGCAACCCTAGTCTCAAAACACCATTTTCAAAATTAGATACTTCAAGGATTTTTGGCATAAAAGAAAAAAAAACATAGATAGTATAAAAATATAAGATATCTATATTGTAAAATACAAATATTAGTTTAAAAACTATTAATTATATATATTTATATAATGATCTACGTTGTGCATATTTGTTTATTTGTTTACATTTTTTAACCAATTAAAGCAAATGTCTGCCATGCTGATATTTAATATAGTTCACCCTATATCATTTAACCCTGTGACAATACCATATGCTTTATGAATAATTTAAAAAAGATCTGCAGGTATCTGGACAAAAAGTGAAAGCTATTTTTGCTATAAGAATTTTATAAACCCTGTATATTTACCACAATGGTAATATGCAGGTTTATAGTATGTACTAATTCGAAAATAGCAATAATAGCAAAACTAGTTTATGTTTGGTTAGTACGTGTTATATACATTTTGAGAACAATATGTCTTTCAGAAAGATTATAAAAATATGAATACAGTAAATAAATTAATATAAATATTGTTTTCAAATTTAAGGTAATGGGGTGATTTATAATTAACTTACTTTGAAAATAAGTTAGTACAAAATATCTCATTTCTGTTGAAATCAAAAAATGAAATAGAAGTTATCTGGGTACAATCTCAAGACTTGATAATTTTTTTTACCAATAATAAAATATCGATCAATTCAATTATTTGCAATAGTTCCAATTTCTTTTTCGAGAATATTAGATATAGTTTTATAGGTACTATTAAATTATTCTTCTATTAGTACTTCTAAAATATAGTACTATTTATGTAATTATTGTAGCAGCTTATAATGAAATCAGATTAAAATGAAACTGGACCTTTTTTTTGTGTAACTTATTACACAATTTTCCGTATAACATGTTACAGGATTTTTTGTGTGACAAGTCATAGGATTTCCTGTGACATGTTACACGAAAAATCCTGTGACATGTCATACGCAAATTTCACGGGATTCCCGTAACATGTCACGAGATTTCCTGTAACATGCATAGAAAGTTTCTGTGTAACAAAAGAAGATTGATTAGTACTGTAGTAATATAAAATTACAAAGTTAAACCATAGTCT